CTGCTTCTATATAAATAAGTATTTATTTCTTATGTTTTATTTTAAAATTTTGATTAAACTTTGGATATATCCGGACCGAACCAGTATAAGGCGCATTTTAACGATATATGATTACTTTATGATTTTAGGATGTGATACAAGTTAGAACCAAAACCACTTTGTTTTATCTAAACCCCAATCTTTTATTTACAAATTTAGCACAATGAGATTAAGAATATGATATAAATTAGATTCCAACGAGAACGGGAATATAACCCGCCTCATATTAATTTATATAACCCGCCTCATATTAATTTTAATTATAATTAAAACATTTAAAGGTATAATATGAATATATTTTATTGTTTAGATTTTTATGAAATAATCTGCAAGAAACTATAATTGTAATCATAATATATATAGTTCCATATACCAGATAATCAAATAATATTAATGTCAACTAAATTTAGTATTGTATTTTATATTACATTTATAAAATTATTTCTTTAAATATCTTATGGTAGTATTTTGTTTAATAAGTTGAAGTGTGTTGTAAACTATATAAATATAATGTAATTTTTATAATTATTATTTCGTGTAATTTTTAATTAAAAATATGAAATATTTATATAGAAAGTTATTTATTATTCTATAAATCAAAATTAGTTAATATTCATTTGTAACTGAATTTAATATTATTTTACGTTTTTCTAATTAAAATAATATTAGAACAATAAATATTTATATATTTTAAATAAAAATATATCAAAGATATTGTTAAAATATAATCTGAAAAAAAAATAATTAAGAATATATTTTTGATATCTTATTTTGAATATATTTAAATAATATATTAATATTATGTGTTTATTTAATAATAACTAAGTTTGTTGTATGTAACATAACATAAAATTAAATAAATCTAATAGTTCAACCTAGAATACTTGTAAATAGATAAAAATTGATTTTGTTTTAATAGTATTGACTAGATTTTTACCCATATTTTCAAAACGCGGGATAAATTTTCAGTGAAAACATTACATAATGGTATTTTCTCTTATTTAAAGTATGTTTGAGTATAAAATTCATAACCCGAAGTCCAGATCCAACCCAAACTACAAAAACATTATTCATATCCGGTCTAAAATGTAAAAAATATATCATAAGAGGTCTTGTATAGTAGTAATGGTACAAAACATATAAAAAATCGGAAGTATTATTAGCCAACCCAAACCGATAACCCGAAAAACCTGTAGAGTTTTAAAAATCCGATTTGAATGTTCAAATTAATCACAAATATATATATATATATATTTGAAATATATAAATTGAATATTCAATTCTATATTTATTTTTGAGTTACATCTAAAATTAAATATTTAAATTGTAAAAGTACCTTAAATGTTTGATTCTATAAAAATAAGTATTAATTTTTTATGTTTTGTTTTAAAATTTTGGATTAAACTTCAGATATATTCAAACCGAACCAGCATAAACTGCATTTTAACGATATGTGATTACTTTATGATTTTAGAATGTGATACAAATTAGATTCCAAACCAATGTGTTATATCCAAATCTCACTCCGTATTTACAAATTGGGCACAATGAGACCTAGCTAAGATGTGATATAAATTAGAACCGAAATTCAAAAAGCTCAATCCGTATTCTACGGATATTTGAACACTCAAGTCTAACTTAAAACCTCATTTAGATGATCGTCTAACTTAAAACCTCATTTAGATGATCTAGAAAATTTTATTCAAAGTTTCATTTTCCCAAAATATAAATTATATATATATATATATGTGTGTGTGTGTGTAATTTTATACAGAAAATTTTGTTTATAAAGTATATTAATTAAATTAAAATTCGTATAAATATAATTTTATGAAATAAGATAATTCTTTTGTAAAACCGCCTCATATTAATTTTAATTTTATTTTAAAATTTTAAAGGTTAATATGAATTTTTTTATTAATTACAGTTTTATGAAATAATCTACAAGAACCTATAATTGTTAATCATAATATACAGTTCAGTATACCATATAATCAAATGATATTAATGTAACTAAATTTAGTATTGTATTTTATATTAAATTATCCTACTATTTTAATTTAGAAATTTGTATTAAAATATAAAATTATTTCTTATTTTAAATATCTTATTTTAGTATTTTTCTTTAATAAGTTGAAGTATGTTGTAAACTATATAAATATGTGAATTCTGTAAATGTAATTTATTTAGTTTATAATTTATAAGAAAATAGATTAAGTTATATTATAATTATTATTTAGAGTAAAATTTAGTTGAAATATTAATATATAAATATTATAGAAGGTTATATCTTATTCTATTAATCAAAATGGGTTAATATAAATTTGTAATTGAATTTAATATTATTTAAAAAAATTATTATTAAAATAATATTAAAACAATAAATATCTATATTCTAAATAAAAATATTTTTAGAATGCAATTTGTAAAAGTAGTTAAGAAGATCTTTTGATATCTTATTCTAAATATATTTAATAATATGTTAAGATTATGTGTTTATTTAATAATAACTAAGTTTATTGTATGAAAATATTATAAAATTAAATAAATGTAGTGGTCTTACCTAAACTACTTGCAAGTAGATAAAAACTGCTTGTATTTTAATAGTATTGACTAGATTTTGAACCGTACTTTCAAAGCGCAGGATTATTTTCGAAACAAACCATATTTATATGATATAATTTGCATATTTGAATATGTATCTACTTTTAAATGTTACACATGACCGTTATATTCAGTGTTTTGAAACACGATCCAGATATGTGGTTAAACCGAAAGAATTGATAATGTTATATGTAACCATTTTGATTTTTCTAAAAAGCTCATTATTTAAAATTGTATAAAATCCACACAAAAAAATTGCTAAAACCTGGGACTCGGTTACCGGTTCAAAGAGCATGATTAATTTCGGAACAAATCAAATTTATATGATATAAATTAGTATTTTTGATTATGTATCTACATTTAAATATTAAACATGTAGCGTTATATTCAGTGATCTGAAACATGATCCGGACCGTAATTAAACCGGAAAAAAAGAATGACTTTATATGTATCCCAGTTTGGTTTTAAAAAAAAAACTCGTTATTTAAAAATTTTATAAACCAAATTTATATGATATATATGTGTATGTTTGAATATGTATCTAAACTTAAATGTTACACTTGAAGCATTATATTCAATGTTCTGAAACACGACCCGGGCACGTGGTTAAACCGACAAAACCGATGACTTTATATGTAACCCAGTTTGTTTTTGCTAAAAGCTGAATATTTTAAAATTATATAAAAGCCGCAAAAAATCCCGCTAAAACATGGGATCGGCTACGGTTCAAAGCGTGGGATTATTTCCAAAACAAACCAAATTTATATGATATAAATTTGTATTTTTGATTACATTTAAATGTTAAACATGAAGCGTTATATTTAGTGTTCTAAAACTCGATCCGGACCCATAGTTAAACCGATAAGACTGATGATTTTATATGTAATCCTGTTTGGTTTTAAAATAAAAAAAACTCATAATTTCAAAATTCAATAAACCCGCAAAAAACTGCTAAAATCTTAATATAACTCGTTAAGTTACTTTATATTTATTATTTGGTGTAGTAATTTAATTATGAAGACAAATTATGTCTATAAATTTATTTCTTATTATATAAATGGAAAATGAATTAGTAATCATTTTTAACTATAGTTAATATTAATTATGAATTTTATTATTTAAACATAAATATTAAAAAGATATGTATATTAAAATTTTAAATAAAATATATTATTAAAATTTAATTTTAGGAAAAGATACTTAAGAATATCTTTTTAGATATCCTATTTTGAAATATTAAAATAATTGGTTAAGCATAATATACATTTAAATGATAATTAAGTTAGGTGTAGGAGAAATACAAAGGAAAATAAATAAATGTAAAAGTCTAACATAGAGTAATTGCAAATAGATAAAATGTGTTCTTGTTTTAATAGTATTGATGTGTTTTTATAAAGCAAAAAATATCTTAATAATTTTAAGTTGAGTTAATTGGCTAAATATCCAAAAAGAATGAAAAAATTAGCAAACCACCGATGATGGGATAAGTTACTCTCTACCAACAAAGGTATATGATGTGGGGGTTGAGGGTATTAACCTAATTAGAGAGAAAGTGGTATGTATAGGATGCAATTTCACTTTTTAAGTTTTTGTTTTGACCCAAAAAAATTGGGCCGATTAATCACTTAGTAGACCGATTAATCGGTTTACTGGGGTGATTAATTAGTTCTTAGGCTGATTAATTGGCTTCTGATTTTTTGGCCGATTAAGGCGAAGTTGTGGCGGATGAAGTCCGAATAGCGATTAAGCGGATGTCTAGCCGCATTTTAGAACAAAGAATTTAAGTTGTTTCATTATTTTCTTTCTTGGTTATATTTATGAAACTTCGATGTTTAGAAGAATTGATCAGCTACAGAACGGAATAGACAGTTTCAATCTACTTTAATATTGACCTCTTGAAACCTTCCCAGTCTAATCTATCTCTCAAAGCATGACTTAAACTTAGATATTCTAAGATTAGGGTAGAAGACCAGTGAAAATGTCATCTAGGACAAAGAAGTTGTGGAAAGATCTAAAAAATAGAAAATAAATTTATCATTAATATATTACACTTATATTTGTTTAAATATTTAAATTGAATTAATCAGTGTATAAATCTATTTTGGTATTTTCATTCTTATAAAAGTAACTATAATTCTTTTAGGCATTCTTTGCCAAAGATATAATTCTTTTAAACATTTATTATATTTTTATTTTCATCAATGTATCAAATATAATTTTTATTTTTATTTTCATCTTTGATACTAGAAGATTATAATTTCCTAACAAATATTCTTTTTAGCTATTTATCTTTCGTATCTTAGTCATGGTTAGATATCAGAGAAAGCAACAACACCTAAGGATTCATTTTGATGGGTCAAAATTTAAAATTGGATATATGGCTTACAATAATGAGAAGAAGATGTCATAAATGCTTCATATAAGTTAGATTTTTGCTTCAAGACAAGGGAAGAGAGTTGATAAAGATCTTAGGACCATTTGATTCATTAAAGACACTAAACTACACATGCATTTGCAGTAACTGGAGAATTGTGAATGAGCTTTCACTTTCTCCCTTCTCAGCATAACTTATCAGAATGTCCCACACACACATTCATACCTTAGTTTTCCCTCTCTGTCTCCTCTCACATGGCAATGTCTTTTTGCATCGTAACACAATTACCACAATCAGTTACGGTCCAAAAGGATAAAGCAAAGGATAAAACTAATGCAACTCGAATATTATGGGGGCAGAAAGAAAAAACTTCAAGAGTTACTTAAACCACTAAAGACCGAACTCATAGTTGCCTTGACCGAATCAGAGAAGAGGGCTTAAACAAGTGATTAACACCATCTCATTGGCTGAAAAGACTAGTTTGCCCCTCGATGATTTTAAGCCTGTCGTCGCAAAGTACTAATTACTGAGGAGATCCGGCGACGATTCATTTATAGCCGGAGATTTCTCCCTCACGTCTGATTCAACCGCCTGTTGTTTCGAAAGAGGGATCTTTGGGACCTCGGTGAGGATCTGAACGACTTCCCTCATCGTCGGCCTTGCCACCGCCTGCTCTTCAACGCAAAGCATGGCAACGTAGAAGACGTGCGTTACTTCGTGGACGGGTACGGAAGAAAGTCTATGATCGATTACTTTGAGCACACATTCTTTGTTTGAATCCGTAACGCTTCGGACCCACTGAACGATATCCACGCCGTCGCCAAATTCTCCGACGGGTTTCCTCCCGGTGATGAGTTCTAGAAGAACAACACCAAAGCTGTACACATCACTCTTCTCATCTACCTTCAATGTATACGCGTATTCTGCCCCCATAATAAATAACAAATAGTTTCAGAGATTTTGATTACATGCCGCCAATGTTGAGTAAAGGCAGTAACAGTAATAGTACCTGGAGCAATGTAGCCGTAGGAGCCGGCAATTGCAGACATACACTCAGAAGTGCCAGAGTCTTGTAAGAACTTGGCAAGACCAAAGTCAGCGACGTGAGCTTCGAAGTTGGAGTCGAGGAGGATGTTGTTGGATTTGACATCTCTGTGAACTATCAACGGAGAACAGTCATGGTGGAGATAGCAAAGACCTTTAGCTGCTTCAAGAGCAATCTTGTAACGTGTGTCCCAATGCAAATGACCTCCTTTTTTTCCATGAAGGACCTCTCCAAGGCTACCGTTAGGCATGTACTCGTACACAAGGAGATTCGTTTCATGGTTAGAGCAAAACCCAAGAAGCCTGACAATGTGTCTGTGTCTGATCCTACCTAAAGTCTGTATCTCAGCGTTGAATCCATGATCATGAGAAGATCCATGAGACATTGTAGCCAATCTCTTGACCGCTACTAGGTCGCCGCTAGGCATCACGCCTTTGTAGACAATCCCGGCACCGCCTTTACCTATGATGTTGTCTTCTTTGAGACAGACCAAGACATCGTCACAAGTGAAGTCTAGTCTCTGGAAAGCAGTCAATCTCCAAGCCTTTGACTCAGTAGCGTTTCTCAAAGACCTAGCTTTGATTATTGCAGCTATAGCAAAGGCCATCGAACAAAAGAGCAAGCCGAGGACGAGCAAGAGCTTTGTAGTAGCGGATAGAGGCTTGACATGAGGCTGGTGAGTTCCTTTGCCGTTGCAAGGACCCAAATAAGGACCACAAAGATCAGAATTACCCAAGAAGGATGTGTAGTTAAAGTAACTGAATTGTCCAGTGCTTGGAACCAAACCGGAGAGGTTGTTGTAAGAGAAATCAACAGATGTTAAACTCTGCATTGACGATATCGTCACAGGGATCGAACCGACAAGATGGTTTCTCGAAATATTCAAGTAATTCAAGATCCTCATAGTCGTGATTTCGTTAGGGATCTCACCTGAGAGCTCGTTACGGCTCAGATCAACGTACGTTAGCAGCTTACAGTGGCTGATCTCCGGCGCAACCCGACCCGAGAACAGATTGTGGCTAAAATCCAGCTTTGAAAGCTGCTGAAGCCTCCCTATCGCCGAGGGTATCGGACCAGTGAACTTGTTACCATCTAAGAGTAGTTTCTGGACGCCGGAGAAGTTCCCGATGGCCGGCGGTAATGGACCGGAAAGCTGGTTATTTGAAAGACTGATCTGACCAAGGTTCACAGAGACACCTCCGCTTATTGGTAACGGTAACTCTCCGGTGAGGTAGTTGTCTTGAAGCTCCACTTGTGATAATTCGGGTAACCCGAAAAGCCCGTCCGGAATCGACCCGTTTAAGAAATTCTCGCCCATTCGGATCCGGGTCAAAGACTCGCATTTCCCAAGCGAATCCGGGATTGAACCAAACAAGAAGTTGCCAAGAGTGATCAACGTCACTAACCGGTTACCAGAGCACATATTCGGAGGCAAAGTTCCTGTGAGTTTGTTGGAGGAAAGGTCAAGAATCACCAGTTTACCGTTCTCTCCCAGTTTCCGAGGGATGCTTCCGGTGAAATTGTTCTCCCATAACTGCAACACCTCGAGCTCCGGCATGTCGCCGATGAACTCCGGTATAGCACCGTAGAGCTTGTTCCTGAAGAGATTCAAGAGCGTCAGGTTCTTGAGCTGCTCGAAACTCGCCGGAATCTCTCCGGTGAACATGTTGTTGGACAGATCCATTGATTTCAAGCTCGAGATCGTTCCCAGCTCCGGCGATAACGGCCCTGAGAACGCGTTCACTTGAAGGAAGAGCGTATCGAGCTTCTGGAGGTTACCAATCTCCGGCGGAATCTCTCCTCTCAATCCGCAGTTCGCGGCGTCGAGCCTGAGAAGCTCCGACAAGTTTCCGATCTCCGGTGGAAGACCATCGTCGAAAGCGTTGTAGTATCCGATGTAGAGTTCTCGAAGAGTCGTTAGGTTTCCGATCTCCGGAGGGATTTTTCCGACGAGTTCGTTACCGGAAACTGCTAAGTACTCGAGAACAGGCCAGCTTCCGTACACCGCCGGGATTCTTCCGGAGAAGTAGTTTCCACCGAGGTGGAGGTGACGGAGCTGCGTCAGATTAGTGATGGAAACCGGCAACTCTCCGGTTAAGTTATTGTTGTACAAATCGAGGACCTGGAGGTTAACCAATCCGGTGGAGAGTTCGTCGGGATACGAACCGTTGAAGACGTTGTTGGAGAGGTTTAGACGACGGAGCTCCGAGAGGTTGGAGATCTCCGGCGGGATAGGACCTGAGATCTGGTTCGCAGCGAGGGACAGATTTTGCAAGAGAGGTAAGTGAGCTACGTCGGAGGAGAGAGTCCCTGAGAGGTTGAGGCCCGAGAGGTCAAGGGAGGTCACGTGACCGCGCGAGACGTCGCACGTGACACCTGTCCATTGGCAGAAGTTTGTGGAGAGGTTCCATGAGGTGAGAGGTGAGTGTTGGTCATTTTCGTTGCCGGTGAGGGAGGATTTGAGTGAGAGAAGAGCACGGAGCTCGGAGATTGGTTGACCGGCGGCGAAGGAGTGAGAAATGTGGAGGACAAGTAGGAGGAGGCGAAGAAGCTTCATGACTATCTCTTTGTTTCTCTCTGGGTAAGTTAGGGTATGGTTTAAAAAGGGTGATAGTGTGGTGAGGGAGACAGACGAAAATTGCGTGTTTTTTATTTGTAAATCTTTGTACTTCATTTTCTATTTTTGCTTTTTATTTAAATCAATGGAGGGAGATTTTGAAATCTTTAGCTTTTTAGGAACCAGAATTTCAATACATAAAATTTAAAGAAAACCGTATTAGTAGAGAAAATATATAAATTTATTAGAGAATTAATGTTTCTAGTTCTGAATCTGTTGAAACGTGATGTTGCTACCCAATATTTGACAAATCTTCTGATTTTTGTCATTGTGTGTTTATTAAGGTTATGAATGGGAGAGGCATGACAAGGGAAGATCATGTAGTTCTCCCGCAATAGGCAGTTCTCGTGCAATATATTTTTACCATTCATCATTTTCTGTTTGTAAAAGTTGTTCAAGCGGGAGATATGCATTTGGTGGTGTTGATCTGTTTTTTTTTTCCTTTTACTAATAAATAGTTTTATTACAAATTACAAACACTTAACTTTGAAATATATCTATTTGATTTTATAAATAATGTACAATTATTAACTCAAACTATATAGTTCACATTAATATTATTTGTGTCATTTTAAAATTATAAGCATGATGTATAATCACCCAAAAAACACAATATTTTCCACGAAAAAATTATTTTTTCTACATAAATGTCAGCAAAAAAATAATTAACATTTTTTATATTTTAAAATAATTAATAAAAAGAAGAAGTACAAGATCTAATAAAAATTTTACAAACATTTCGACTGAACCTACAACATCTGAAATATTTGTTTTGATATTTGGTGTAATTTTTATTATTTTAATATATGATATATAGTTTTGAACATATTTTGTCATTTATAATTTATAATAAATTATTTAATCTGTTTGATCTCCATTTCTATATATAAATATCAACAACGAATTAAATATTAAGATGTCTGTTCTTCAAAAATAATTTTGATCAACTAAAACGCAAATAGAAAACGTACAAGCATCTTATGAAAAATTCAAATAAAAATTTCGGCTGATCCTACAATATTTAAAATATTTAGTTAGAAATTTGGTATAATTTTATTCTTTTAAAATATGATCTATAGTTTTGAACTGATTTTGTCATTCATAATTTATGATAAATTGTTTGATCTGCATTTCTCCTGCATGATCTGCTTGATCTGCACTTGTTCCACTTGAATTGCACTTGTCCTGTTTGATCTGCATGAACCGCTTGATATGCACCACTTGATCTGCTTTTACCATTCGAAGCCTAATACATTGAGCAAGTCGTAAAATTACAATACTGAAATTTACATGCATTTCAGTATATGCTCCAATCAATAATGCCATTTTTTTTGGCAAAAAGAAATAATCTTCAAAAGAACCAAATAAATTCATAAAGATGCTTTTAAAGATAAAAAGAAAAACCATGATTACAAATTTTTATTAATAATGAAGAACGGTCTTGATGTTATAGTTTAAAGGGGAGATTATGGATCCCACCACTAGCATTCACGTACTTACCGATTTCTCGAAGGACCCGTTTTTCTTGATTAGCGGGTAGTAGCAGTATCAATTGGATCCCTTAATTAACCTGTTACCAAAACTTTAACACTTCAATGACAAAAACATCCCTTTACAGACATCGTAATCACATTTCTGTCATTAGGACCACATCAAGGCCCACAAGGCATGAGCAACAAACCAGAGAGCCAGTCTACGTTATTACTTCTCTGAGTAATAGGGATTATCAATTGAAAGTGACGAGAAAAACTTTGAGGTGACGATACGGTAACAGTTTACGAGCTTGAGAGACACAATCATAATTTTGATAATGGAAGTTAGTCACTAGTCAGTGAGTGGCTCAGTGATACCAGTTCTATGTGCATCATTTTTATCTTTTGCCAGTTACAATATTTTCACTAATCAACATTCAACAAAAAATAGTTTGTGTAGTGAAAATTTTTTTTGTAAAATGTTGCGATAATGTCATTTTATTTTTAGCTCAACATACTAGGGCTGACCACAAATACTTGATACTCGGCTTGTACTTGTTATTTGACTCAGTTCGATTTGAAAAAATAAATATTTGTTACAATCAAGCAAGTAAACGTATTTTATTACTCACAAGTACAAGTCAAGTATCAAGTTCATTTTTATATTTTAACTATTTGACTTGTTACTTAGTTTGTTACTTGTTATCATTTACTTGTCCCATTATTTATTATATATTACTTGGTTTATTAAATACTTAATCTCTATTTTATTAGTTAATTAAAATTTATGTATTACATTTTATTGGTAATCATAATTACTCGATGTTTTCCTCTTATTCGATACTTGATGGATACATGATCTTTAAAAATTAGTATTTGTTATACCAAGTTAAGTATAAAGTAAATATTAAATAAATTACTTGACGTTGTTTGTTTGCTACTTGTGTTTGTTAATGAACAAAGATATATTTTTCAAAATCATAGTAAAATAACTCATTTATATTCCTGTTTTTATAAGTTCATCAAACATAAGTACTATAAATATATAAACATCTTGAAATTTTCTCTTTCTCATATACTGCATTTTCCGAATGACTTAAATACAAAAAAAACAATAACATATTATTTATATGATAAATTTATTTAACTTTAAATAATGAACTATCAAATAATTTACCAATAATTATGAATAAATTTATAAATAATTTACAAGTAACAAGTAATAAAATAAGGTAGACAATCTATTTAGCATCAGATCCCCACCGAACTATGACCTCATGTTAAATCTCCACGAACTGAAAATTGTAAACCTATTTCTCTCCAAATTAATACTTCAAAACTTAATTACCTACATACATTTTAATTGGTTTTAAATGGTTTATTCTTAACCAAACATCTTAAAATCAAGTAAACCAAACCAAAATCCAATTTTTATATAGTTTATTATTAGTTTCTATTGGTGATGTATTTTTGTTTTCTAATGAGCAAAACAAAATTTTTGTTGTAAAATAAACCCATTAAATCTCCAACTAAATCACTGTAAACATTTTTATGTAAATGAAATAAGTCAAGTAACTTATAAATCCGTCAATTTTTTACAAGTACTTGAAACTGCAAATACTTGTTTTCTACAAACTAAATACAAGTCAAAATATTTACTACTCGTATAAGTTAAGTCGAGTACTAAGTATACCAAAAATTCGGTTTGTGCTCATCTTTAAGCATACGTGTTCTATATCCTTCTATCCATTTTTCCTGATTAAGATATATGTATGTATGTATGTATAAAATTTTAAAAGCAGATATTTAAGGCAATGGAACAAGTTGTACTCATATTAGGTGAACTTTGTTGTCTTCTTTATGGACCCGGACCGATAGAATAATTTTCCATATGCAACGCATTTCCTTGCATTTTTCAATAAAAAAAAAAAGCATTTCCTTGCACTAAATAATGAAAAAAAACATTTGTAGATTAAAATATCCTTGGGATGATGAGAATCGACAAGCACGTGTGAGGGGGAAGATCTAATACTTTTTTTCCTGTGTGCTAACTGGGAAGATATATATTTTTGGATGGATGTGTATGAAGATTCATTTGTTGAAGCCTTGATTTCCAGTTTGGCATCAAATAAAATACATATTATTTGAATATTAAGCACAACAATAACCAATTATTTAAAAATTAAAATTTTATTAAGACAAGAACTAATAATATAATCACATGTATACATTAGATCTGAGAAAAGGGGTACCAAAATGGTTTAAACATATTCCTATACTATTATTAGTCAGTGGCTTGGTCTTATCTTTCATGCATCGTATTACGTTCCTCTGGTTTTAATTATGACCCATCCACTATCCTCTTCTACAAGCTTGTGACCAATCCACTATAACAATCATGAATTCAGTCTCTGCTCTTTAAAAGTTTGTTCTTATTTTATCTTTTATATAAACAAGAAAATCTCAAGAACCAAAAGCTAGATTTTTATCTTTGTCCGTTTAGGGAGAGACACAAACATGACTAGGTCTTTTAGCAAGTGCTGTTTCTGTGGAATCATGCCAAACAGAAAGACACGCTGTAAAAGCAGCCCACTGGTGTAGCTAAAAGACATAACAAACGTCACAAAGTCATCTTTTTTCTTCTTTTTATTTTGAAACTGATATAAGGGGAGAGAGTGGGTTCAAGTTTTCATGTGGTCCATTTTCAAATCTTGAAGGAAAAACAAAGACTTTACAGTAAAAGTGAAAAAAAATTGAAAAAATGGGACAGCACACACAACCAAGGGACCATAAGCTTCATCATCATGGCCCAACCAAACCAACTACCATACATTATCTACATTAAGTCATACATGTACTCTGACCGTAAGCTCGTATGAACAATTATTAACCTTGAAATACTTTAAAATCAATAACATTCGGGGGAACACAAAGAAACTAGACAATAGGTTGATAAACAAAATGAAAAGAAAAGGGAAAACCTGTAACTAAGAAGATTTGTGTTCACTTTCTCAAGTCATTCGAAGAAGTTTCTTTGCCTTAAGCCCTTACCTAAACATTAATTCTGAGTCGCACAACTGCGAAACTAGAACCAATCTAACTAGGCTCAAACTAAGAAAGTGAGCACTACAAGATTACAAGATGGAGAGGTTTACATGGATGGGGGTTCTGAAGAGAGATTCCTGTTTCATTATTTCTTCTGTGCCCAAATTCTTATAGACTTGTCCAGCGAGCCTGATGCGATCATGTTCTCAGTCGGGTGGCAAGCCACGCTCATGACAGGCTCAGTATGACCCTCAAGTTTCTGAAGTAAATTCCTGGAGTTCAGCTCCCACATGTATACACACTTGTCCTCGGATCCACTGACTATTCGCTTTCCATTTGTGACGGAAAACGCAGAGGAGACGGAGTACTGAGAGTTGGCATGGCCAGTGTATGTTTTGATGTATTTAGCAGAAGAAATGTTCCACAACCTCTGCAAATTTGAGAACACGGTGGAGAGATCAGAACATCATGAGAATTTACATCTTCTCTAATACCCTATCGATGCAAACAAAAGCAAATAACAAAGATGTAGCTTCCAAGGCCATTCAGTATTCTTGGAATCTTGGTCACTAACAGAACTCTACTAAGTCTATCAGCTTTCACAATCAAGAATCTAAGCTAACACGTTCTATTCAAGTCTAGAAAACGAGTAATCTCATAGCAAACATCAACTCTCTTGGATGGATTAAGCAATATATGACAATAAGAGTTAAAAAGCAACGGATCCGTGCATTAATAACAAATCATGAGAATTTACATCTTCTCAAATACCCTATTGATGCAAACAAAATTAATACCTAATATGAGTTGGCAAAAAGAGAAAAAGAATCGATACCTAATATATATCACCCAAGCTAAGACTCTCTAAGATACAACCATTCAGTATTCTTGAGATCCTGATCAATAACAGAACTAAACTAAAGCTAGAAGCTTTCACTGCATAGAAGTAACCTAAGTTCGAAAACAATGTATAAAGCTTAGTTTTGGATGGCTTCTCCTACATCAATTTCTTTCGAAACACAATCTAGAGTCCAAGCTAACACCTTCAGCGTAAATCTTAATGATGTTCTCAAGATAGCTATTGAGCAAATCAGCAAAACGAGTAAGCACATATCAAGCATCAACTGTGTTAAATAGATTCAGCAAGATATGACAATAAGGCGTTACAGAAGCAACAAATGAGGAGGCATTATAAAATGTTCCTCAAATCTGTAAATATAGTGGAGAGATCAGTGCATTAATAACAAACAAATCATGAAAATTTAAATCTTCTCCAATACCCTAGGAAACAAAATCAAACACCAAAAGATACTTGATCAACAAAAATACTGCATAGAGATAAACCCTAACGAAAACAATATTGCAAAGTCAGTTTCTTTCGAAACACAATCTACCCAAAGCCTAATGCTTTGGTCGAGATAGCTATAGAGAAGTAATCACATAAGCAAAGATCAGGACTGACCAGCGTGTTATCGAGAGTGCCGACGAGGATGAACTTGCCGTTGGGGGAGAACCTAACGAAGGAAACAGGAGGATTCTCATCATCCATCAGAGTCTTGACACAGTGCCCCGTCCCTGAATCCCAAATCCGACACAACCCATCGTAGCTACTCGAAACAATAAGAGACCCGTCGCGATGGAAATCCACGGCGGTGACGGGATCCGAATGCGCGGGAAGAACTTTCAAGCACTTGCCGGTTTGCACATCCCAGATCCGAACAGTCTCGTCGAAGGAGCCAGACGCGATCATGTTGGATTGCGGATTGAAGTTGACGCAGAAGACGAAGTTAGTGTGCCCGTGAAGGGTCTTCATCAGGGACCCGGTCTCGACGTCCCAGAGCTTTAGGGTTTTGTCGTCGGAGGCCGAGACGATGAACCTGGCGTCGGAGGAGAAGGCGACGTCGGAGATGCCGGAGTCGTGGCCGGTGAAGACTTGTGCGGGCTCGGCGATGGGGTCTCCGTTGGGGTTGATGGTGTAAGTGCGGATTGTCTGGTCGGCGGAGGCTGAAGCGAGGAGGCGGCCATCGGAGGAGAATTTCACGGAGGAGACGGCGTGGAAGTGGGGAGTTAGGGTTTGGGAGTGAAGGTAGGGGATGTAAGATGCTGCTGCTGCTGCTGCTGCTGAATCTTCCTCCGCCATTGGGTAATAGAATCGAAATCTAAATTTTTGTTAGGGTTTTGGAAAGAGTCTTTTTTTTTTAAAAAAAAAAGACTACCCGGAACCCACTTCTATTTTTTTCGCCTGAAAAGAGCTCTACTGGAGATGGATTTAATTCTAAAAATATTATTTCTCTATATTTTTCCTCTAAAAAATAAGATAGAGAATTTTTATCATAGAAATAGAAGGTAAATTTAATTCAGTGTATACATATAAATAGAGAAAAGAAATAGATTAAAGAATATTTTAACTTCATGTATATTCTATGAAGACGACGAAAAATGATTGTTTTTCTACATGTAAAAGTGTTCGTTTTTGTGTCATGTGTCCTAGAAATATGAATGATCTTTGAGCCGTGAAAACTTTTTTCCAATATCTTGATATTTCCAAGTAATTTGTAAAAATTGATTATTTTTCTAGTTCTGAGGATTTGGAAAGAGGTTTTAGGTAAAAAAGATTATCCGGAAACCACTTCTAACTTTTCGCCTGAAAGAAATAAATACTTCTTCTGAAGATGGATTTCGTCTAAAAATAAAAATAAAACCTTTATTTTGGTTTTGTCAATGAATAAAGAAACTCTATTATATTTGCTTCTAAAAATATTAGTTCTTTATATTTTTAATAAAAATATAAAAACTCTATTATACTTCGTTAATAAAGTTTCAATATCTTTTTAGAAAATTATACTTTTAACTCTAATCTATATAATAATGATTCACTTTTGAAGCTCCTAAGGCTATCCACATCAGCAGCCAAGTGGACCCCACATATTTAAATTTTAAAAGCTTATAGTTTTTTTAAAATGACTATGAACAATGAATACACTTTAGCAAAGTGGTATAAGGCATCAAATTAAGTCTGCAAGTGTGTGGGTTCAAACCACGCAGCTGTTATATATTTTAGTTTTTTCGTTTGGATTATTATCATATGGGCTTTTTAGTTTTAATGTTTTAATGTTTTTTTCCTCTGGACTTATTGTTTAAAGTCCAAAATAGTGAAAAAATTCTAAAGTTTGACGAACTTAAACCCAAAAACAATTAAAAATGGATCAAAAAGCGAACATCCAAAAAAAGAAAAAAAAACGAGTTTCACGCGGTACTATCATGTCCTAATATATATCATATGGGCTTTTAGTTTGGATTAGTTTTTTCGTTTGGATTAGTTTTTTCGTTTGGATTATTATCATATGAGCTTTTTAGTTTTAATGTTTTTTTCCTCTGGACTTATTGTTTAAAGCCCAAAATAGTGGAAAACTTCTAAAGTTTGACGAACTCAAACCCAAAAACAATTAAAAATGGATCAAAAAACGAACATCCAAAAAAAAGAAAAAAAAAACGAGTTTCACGCGGTACTATCATGTCCTAATATATATTTTTACTGTTAGAGCATATTTCCTAATATATATTTTCAAAAAATATGTATGTGAAATAAAATATAAAAAAATAGTTTTGTTATTTATAAAATAACTATGTAATTTCTCTTCAATTTTTAATAGTTACTATAATTTCATTTTTATCAGACTCCGGTGGATGGATTTCCACAGTCGATGACGCAGTAAAGAAAAATACCACGTTATTCATGAACAAAATCCAAAATTACAAAAAAAACATATCCAAACCTATCTATTGAAACCCAAACAACAAATATTAACTTAAATTAAAGTTATTTTCAAATTGATAAATCGTTTAGTACAAATATAAATACTATAAATAAATATTTATATCAAGTTTTGACATCCGATATAAAAACTATTTCCAACATAAAAAAAACAATATAGACATCTATTTTTATACACTAAAAACTATATTATAATTTAGTTATTCCTATAACTTATTTCGCATATAAATAACATTTAACACATTATATATACAATAATTTCACTTTGTACTCTTGCTACATTCTTTCCATTTCATCATTATTTGGTATTATTAGAATAACCCACTAAACCAACAACCGAAAAACATAGATCCCGTCTCCGCGCTTGCGCGGGGGTTATGCAGCTAGTATAGAGAAAAGTGCAATACATACATTGAAAAAAATATATGTATAAGAAAAAGAGTGATTTACACTATAGGACAGTTTCCAAGTTTTTATTACATCCAAAAACAGTTTCGGTTCCTAAGTTAGTTTATTATGATTGTTTACCTTGATGATCCTAAGTAACACGAAATCAAAATCAAAACTCTTAACTAGTGGGATTTATCATCTTCTCTCTACTGACTTTCTTCTTTATCATGCAGAAAATTGATTTTAGAAAATCCATCGTCTCTCAGCTCTTACAAAGTAATATTTTGATTTTTTTTCGTCAGTCTAATGGAGCATCCGGAATAAACATGACGAATCTCAAATTGCGAGTTCCATTCCACCGTGGTCATCGTGCTTCAATCGCAAATCAAAGAGAAAGCTTGATAAGAGCAACAATGGAGAACTTTTGATTATTTGCAACTAGGGACCTCCCACTCTTTCTTATTCTCTAATTTGTCTCCAACTTTTAATCAGTTCAAACATCTTCACGAATTTTTCCCGATATTTTAAAATGTGTAATATAGACCAATGAATATTTTGTTTTTGCATCATTAATCCTTGTTGTATTGTTCTATTTTGTTTATGCCCCATATGTTTATGACTTGCAGATAAACATTATTCATTTGGATAATAAACTAAGTGAACCTATTATGTCATACAACTCTCTGTTAATGAAATTAAGCAATGTATGCACATAATTAAATGCATTAGATAATAAATTAAATGAACTAAAATCAAAGCTAAAAATCGTTAAGAGTATGTACACCATTTTCAGTTTGACTTGATCTATTTATTATGTATTTTGGTACTGTTTTAGTAAGCAACCACCAATGTACCTATATGTGTACAACTTCTTTACATTTATTGGTTTATTTTGATGTACATGTGTACACGTTTCAAAGTATACACAAAATAACATGTCCATTTGCCTTTAACTTCTAATTTTTTAAGTTTCTATATGTGTACACGTCATAAATTGTACACACATGTCATTTGTTATTCTTGCTCAAAAACAAAAATTGGTCTTACATGTGGGTATTTATGTATCGGCCATACACGTGGAAAATATTATACAAGTGAATTTTGTTCATGATATTAAAATGTGTGTGTCATATGGTTGTACACATTTTGAAACTTGCAAAATTATCTAATTAGATAGTGTGATATTATAGTAATGTGTACACATATTTTTTCTATCTCACTTCTAAGTTGAAGTACAATTTTATGTATATATATATATATATATATATACTTGTTTACAAAAACTCACATGTACACCGGTCATTTGTACACCGAATAAGTTTTAACATACATTTAGTAGTTTGAATATTAGAACGGCCAATATTGTCTATTAACATGTACAATAGTTCACACATACACCATATCATTTGTACAATAATTGGCAAGTAAAACAATTCAATGGTCTATATCGTCAATGTGTACACATATGTTTCACTACCTACATGTACACTTTTCACAAAAACTTTTATGTACACCGGCTCCTTTGTACACCAAATAGGTTTTATCATTCATTTGCAAATTTGGATATTTGAACGGCCAATATCGTCTAATATCAGCTAAGATCTCCTAGCATAAACAAAAGTGATTCATTTGGGGTGCATGTGAAAAGTAAGTGATTCAAGTACTGGGATTAATCTTCACCTCTGAAGAGTATTAAGGTTAATAGAATCATATAAAAGTTAAGCGATCAAACGTGCAAAAATAGCAAAGTTAGCCATTGTTGCTCTCAAGCTTTTTTTTTTAATGGTCGAAGGGCTTGTTAGAGAGGAACGGAGGTCACAGCGATGATGAATCACAACAAGGAAGAAGGAATTAGAACACGGCACGAAGGATGGAGTCGAGTGAAAACGCGATGGACCGGATTCGCCATGTGGTACCACAAAAAATGAACACAACGGCTTGGAGATCGAGCTTGCCTGAGGCTCACCGGCGGTTTCAGAGCAAGAACATAGCATAACGGCATGAGAAAACAAAGACACCATGGTTGAAGCTTGAAATAATCTCCGCCGTTAACGTCCCGTCGTATACAATGCCTTTACACTACCATGAAAGATGCATCTTCACATATCTCAAAAGATAAATTAAAATAACGATTACTTACAAGATTTCATCAACAAAAATTTTAAAGAAGCGAATTTGATTTTTTTTACAAAATAGTGAATTGGGGAAGAAGAAGACAAAGAAGTCCAAGAAGAAAGTTATATGGGATCCACTTTGTTTCTTCTCTCGTAATGTGTACAAAATGTTAGTTAGTGTTTGAATGAATTGTAGATTTCGTTAGAAAAAAATGTGTGAGAAATGATAAGATGTTACAATAAAGTGTCTTGATAGAAGAAAGTGAATTATTATGTTATAACTAACTAAAAACTGCCTCTGAGTGTAATTCTTTCTAAGAAAAATATATGTATAAAACAGAGTAACTCTAATATACATATCTACATTGAAGAAAAATCATTCTATAATAGAGTTTTCACATATTTTTTTTTTTAATAAAGATATATATTAAAGATCTTACGAGAAGAAACGTCTACTTTGTAAAAAAAAATATGGAACTTATTTTTAAAATAATAAAATTATTAAATTATTTTTTGAGTTTTTGTAAGATAGAGTAATATCAGGGATGACTCCCAGTTCACTCTATTTCTACATCCAACTTTTACGAGGCTTTGATATTTTGACGTTTTAGTTATTTTTTCTAAAACACAAAAATTCCCAAATCAAAATTTAGAGGTAGATTTTGTTTAAATTTTAGCTTTAATCGATATCTTTTCAGTACAGTTTCCTTAAATTTGATCTCGTATATTAAATATCAGTACCAATTTTAAAATATCCCTATCTAAAATATTGTACTAAATCTTCCATCACTAAAAATAAAAGTAAAATAAGTGAGAAAAAGTAATTTTCCAGAGGACAAATTATTTAGATAGTATAAAGAAAAGATTATGACACTACTGCTGCTTCCACCA